ACTTGCATCTCAGAATTGATATCCACTCTGGGACTCCAACCGAGTACCGTTTGTTTCAAACTCCATCACATTATCCACCTAGTTACTGAGTCGTGATAATCACTTGTTTGTGAAATTGGGTGAAGTTTAAATTCACTTTGTATTGTTCACTTGAATCTTCCCATTGATGTTTAGTACAGCAATCGATCAGTCTATTAAAGTGATTTGGTAAACAAAAATTATATACGATTTTTAATTTCTTTAAAATTTCATTGAGATTTTTCTAATTTAAATGGTATTTGCAAAGATGGATTTTATCTGGACATGTGGGTACATCCAGCTGACGAGTCCCAAATAGGATGAAACGCAAGTCCTGAATTCCACTGCTAGTCATTATCCATGTTTGCATATAATACCTGTGACTTATGGCTGTACTAGTATAGGGGTTGTGCAATTTCGTGGATTGGTTGATGTTAGAAACTATCACCATTGGATGCCGGCTCAGTGGTCCAGTTGGTTAAGCGTTCGCGCGCGAGACCGAAGGCCCTGGGTTCGAATCCCGCTCGCGGGATCGTGGATGCGCACTGCTGGGGAGTCCCACAATAGGACGAAACGGCCGTCCAGTGCTTCCAGGTTTTCAATTGTGGTGGTCTAACATCAATCGGTTCATGATCTCAATCAAAAACTTATGGCTGTATTGAGACAATCCGCCACAGGATACACATATGCCAATCAGAGACTGATCAATAGCAGTACTGAATATTAATGGGAAGATTCAAACAAACAATACCAAATCAATTTAATAGTGTTTATTTTGCAATAAACAATTTCTTGAACATATCAATTGTCAATCTTTGATAAATTTAAACAAACGAAGTTGAATATGATAAGAAAAAAATGTACTAATTAATCATTGGGTAGATATCAAATAGTGTTACATTCGCTATTTGATTAACACACAATACGATACATTACTAACGGTGCTTGAACATTTAGAACCCTATAGTCATAAATTAGAAGATACAAGAATCAGAAGTGTTTATTAGGTAAGAATCGAAAATGTACAGAAAATAATGGGTATTTATAGATATGTTGACGTTAGTTATGACATCATTATAATTCAGTCAATCCTTAAGGGGGTATGTTATGATACCATCTAATTGTAACATGTCACTGTGATATTCTACAAAGTTCTAATAGATGTTCATTGAGTGGAAACTTTTCGTCTCCTTTTAGGGTTTCTAGAGGCTTTGTTGTGCTTCTTCAAAGCTTTCCCAACAAATATATATGAGAAATATTCTATATTCAGTAAATAGAAGAGATTCATTTGGGTTCTCTCTGTTCATTGGTAGTATTTTAGACTAAGAAAAAACATTTACCATCGATTGTTACCAATTACTCAATCATCAAATTACTCAAATTGGGCAAATTACATTTTATCTGGGAAAAGCTTAGTTCTTTTAACTTCTCTTCATGATGAACAAATCCATAACTTGACCAAATATACTTCTTAACTATGAGTAAGCTTAAATTTATATTCTTATTTTATAGATAGTGAAAGTTAAAATGGATGAATCATTTTTGATTTTATCGTATGTATCAAAAAGAGAACGATTATGTAATGCAGATTAACTTGGAGAAATCGTAGTTCACATCACTCACAGAACTTAGTTACACAAATAATGAGCCCCTAAATGCGCTGGTATGGCCAAGAGTGGGCAAAGTCCGCTCTCCCTCTCGAAATGCTCGCACATGACCACGACTATACAACCACTGCCAGAGAAGTCTTACTCACTACCTTCTCGCAACACGGGTGTTGTTCACAAAATTGAGAGGACGAAAAGCGGATATCCGGCGCTTTAACCGGGTTGGTGGACATGGAGAGTCCACCTAGGGGAGTTGGAAAACCCTGACTCCAAACCAACGCTGTACATTGGCTCCAGTATCCTGAAGGAACAAATGGCGTATGAACCAATTGTTGGTCACCGGCTACCATGGGATTGCATCTCCCTGTGATGCTCCACTGCTTTGTGCATGAGACCTTCGTGTCGAAGGCTTTGAGTGTGGTCCCCTAAGAAAACCACCTGCTCCGGTTCGAGCACCCGGACAGCATCACAGCCCTCACACATATCAAATGAGATCTGTGTGGCGCATATGCATTTGGTGCATCCTTTTACCAATATCTATGTGTTGAAATAAATGAATAAATAACACAATTAGTGAAAACCTAGAAAGAATGAAAAACTATTTCTCTCTAGTATATCACTTCTTAGACGTGTGCACCTACGGTCCTACATCTTAACAAAGACAATAGGTACAATCCAATTTCTTAGTTATATATCATTAACTCTTACCTCTAAAACATTTTTAGTCATACCTTATCCTCTCATTATGAAAAACTCGTAGTCGGAAATTTATTCCTCTCAATATATATATATATATATATATATATATATATATATATATATATATATATATATGATTTTGATAGTTGAATTCAGTGGAGTTCAAACTGGTCTGTTGTGAGATAGTAACTCACTGAATACAATGGTGGATGTGTCACTCCATTTCGTGGATTAGCTAAAGTTAGACATCAACACCATTGTATGCGGGCCGGCCCAGTTGTCTAGAGATCAAGCGTTTGTGAGCGAGATTGATAGGTTCTGGGTCCGAATCCCGTTGGGCGGGATTGTGGATATGCACTGTTAAAGAGTTCCACAATAGAACGAAACGGCCTTCCACTGCTTCCAGGTTTTCCATGGTGAAGTAGTTTCAAACGACTCATGATCTCAACTATCAAATTACTGTAATATCACAAAAACCCCTTCTGATGCTATTCTAAATTAGTAAACAAAGTATTCTATCCATATATTTCTCAAGTCTGTTCAAGATATAGACTTATCCATTTCGCAAAACATTTAAATTCACTATTATAGTTCCGTACTATTGAGTTACGGAATGAGATCCACTTGAAAACTTCTAAATGTAAATTCTATTTACGACTCATCTTTCTCTTAGGTTTTCATTAGTATTTTTGAGTATCCATAATATACAATTGCTTAATTACCATCGTACCTCATTATATCTGTGAGATTGTGAATAAAGATTTATTGTTTTCATAGTTTATATCACAAAATGATTTTAGCTAGATCATCATTGAAAACCTGGAGGCAATGTATAGCCGTTTCATCTTAATATTGAATACTTCAGCAGTATACACCTACGACCCTGTATTCAGAAATCAGACTCAAAACCTGTGGTCTCGCTCATAATAACTTAATTTCTATAATGGTTCAGATAAAATCGGTTGATGATTTAAAATGTGAAAAGTTCATAAGCTCCAGAAATCCCCCCCCCTCAAATAATTCCCTGAAATTGTCTGAAAGCATAAACATTTCATTTTTCAAAATTAGACTTGTTTTTATAGATGAACTGTTTTCTATAGATGAGCTGTAGGCAGTCGGTTATTGTCTGTCAGGCAATCTATATTTAATTGATAATCTTACATAATGACTCAAATCAATTTTGTATTTGGATGTAGGTAGTAACATTTGCCTTCTGTTGAAAATAAACGATTGATCTTCTGTTGTGTTTAGAAGATTTAACACTTAGTATTGTTGATTGTTATGTGAACACCAAATTTTACTAATAAAGTAATCCGACTAATTCAAGTGAATGCATATTGAAGTATAATTTTTATGTTAAGTGATAAGAGGAAATCGGTGAGACTATGATTCCATGGACTAACCATACAGATATAGGATAACATGTCTTGGATTTTGGCGCAAAATTCATTCATTTGTCTAAATAGCACTTTTGGCATTTTCAGCTGATGTTAGTTCGTGATAGAAAACCACAAATCTAATTTTTAACCTTAACTAATTATCAACTCTAAATCATAATCCTTATTCTTTAAACTACTTTCATAAACCTCATTTAGCCCTAGTAAGTAAGTAGATACTCTCAAAGTCACTTTAACGTCGCTCAAAGGTCGTTCATAAATAAAAGTCTCACCGGAAAATCTTTAGTTATTTCAACTTTTAGACACATTATTGGTTGTTATTCACTAATATCCTAATGGTCAAATAGGCTGACTTTCATCCAGTAGGTTGTAAGTTCAAATTTTACTTTGTATATTCCAATTTAACTATGTTATGTAATTTGTTTGTAGAATTGTGGTCAACTTTGTTATTAGTACTGCTCTAATAATAGATGTAATCCTAAAATTGAAGATTTGTCATGATGTAACTGCCTAATCTATAAGATCTTAGGTGGAGGTCACATGATTATCTACACTGACTCACCGTAACGTAATAGTCAGCAACATGGAGAATATATTTAGTTTGGAGATAGAACAATATATTTAATCTGAATAAAAATGATATTACATAAGAATGACCACGCCTGCACGGGCGAGCAATGCCATCCGATGAATTCAATCTCGAATAAATGTTACCGCGTTCATCATTAGCGTTACATGTTCAGGTTTTAGGGTTGCGTTTAGGGTCCAATAACACTAAAAGTTCTCATATACATATTTCTTGGATGTAAACCTTGCACAACGGTCTAATTTTAGTATACATCAATGGCAGTTCAGTTGGTATTATTCACATGAATCTTCCCATTGATGTTTAGCATTGCAATTGATCAGTTTCTTATTGGCATATATGCATACTGTGTGTATTGCCTTGTTATAGCCTAAAATCACAAGGACTCATTAGTTAAGTGAATAACGCGATAGCGTTTGAAGCGAACGTTACTGGGTTCTAGTCCCAAGGTAAACATCAACTCTGAGATACAAGTACATCCATCTGACGAGTTCAAAATAGGATGAAACACGTATCAACCTAAATTCCACTACTAGCCATTATACATCTTTGCTTATACACATTATTAATGACAAATATATTAATAATTCTTTGATCATCTATTGTTCGATTGTGTATTTTCTTATTTTAGATTAGTATTCTGTATTCATTGAGTTCATGTGATGAGTATCCAAGTGTTTTATTTATTATCTAATGGAATTACTTGTATTATCTCAAATGTACAGAATGATTTTAATAACATTCTACATTATTATACATATTAATCATTTATTTTCATTGGATACTTTCAATTCCAAAGAGACTAGTAACTTAAAAAAACCAATCATTATTGAAGCACCAAATGATCATATTACTAATGAGAATATACTAGAATTTACATGTAAAGCTGAAGCTAATCCAAAACCTTTAATTATCTGGTATAATGCAAGTACAAATCAACCACTTGAAGATAAATTACAAACGAGTAGTTATCAAACAAGTATACATGTGAATAAACACTTAGGTAAATTATTGATCTCTAATCCAATACCAGGAAAATCTTATTCTGTTTACTGTAATGCATCTAATTCAATTGGTTGGGTAATAAGTGATCCACCTGTGATTGGAGCAGTTGTTTATTTAAATTTCGAATTTTATTTAAATCCATCCAATACTGAAGCTGATGAAGGAACTAATGTAACACTTGAATGTCTACCTCCAAAAGGTTTTCCAAAACCTCAAATTTTATGGATCAAAGATAATAAAACTATGATCAGTGAAGATAAAATACAAAATTCTCATGATTTAGATTTTTCAAATGTTAAAATTATGCCAAATGGTAATTTAAGAATCCATTCAGTTAGTATTAAAGATACAGGAAATTATGTTTGTATTGCAATGAATCCAATTGGACAAAGACTATCTCAATCAGCCTATTTACATATTAAATCATTGGATCATAAATATACAACTCCAAAACATATTCGAATAAGACAAGGTCAACAAGTCAAGTTAATTTGTCCAATTCATAAAAATCAATCAATAAAATGGAGTCGTAAATCAAAACAATCTCTCATTATATCTGAAAGAATTCAACAAATAAAAAAAGATTTAATCATTCATCGTGTACTACATTCGGATTCGGATATTTACATGTGTACTACATTGAATGGTGAAATAAGTGAAATACATCTTATTGTTGAAACACCACCAATATTCTTAAAATCACCTGTTGATTTACTCTTAAATATTGGTGATAAAGCTAAATTTATATGTATAGCTAATGGTAATCCTAAACCTGGTATTTATTGGGAATTACCAGATAAAACTCCAATTTTTCCAACAGATCATAATTCATTACAATCTACATCATCATTAAATAGATATATTGTTCATACTAATGGTACATTAGAAATTAATTCAGTAACATTAAAAGATGCTGGTAAATATTATTGTATTGCACATTCATCTATTGACATGGTACAAACAAGTGCTATGTTAAGAATAAAACGTAAAAAAAGAATTCAACAACCGCCACCACCACAACCACCACCACTACTATCACAACAACAACACCATTACCACCACCAATGACAACAACAAATTTAAATCAAACTGTTACTATGTTAAACATTCAAAATCAAATGCCTATGAATAAAAATGTATCAAAATCAATAAAATATATATTACCATATATTGGATTACCCCATCGAATCAAACAAAATTAATTGGAGAATCTGTACTTATTGATTGTGAATTACCAAAATTAGTTAAAATTATTTATCCTAATGAATATCCAAATTCAAATGATCATAATAATAATAATAATAATAATAAGGAATACTTTGATATTCAAAGTACTGAAACTTGGCAAATTACATGGAAACGATCATTGATATCACACAATGATACACAACAACAACACCACCAACAAACCAATAAAGAAATCATTGATGGAATAGATCATCGATATAAAATATTTCCAAGTGGTAGTTTTACAAATTAATAATTTACAATTAAATGATACTGGTCTATATACATGTCTATTAATAGATCATCAAAATATCAGTTATCAAATGACAATGCTATTAAATGTATTATTATATAAAATCAATAAAACAATTATTGATTATTTACAAGAATATCCAATAACATCACCAAATCATTTATATATTATTAATAAAACAGAACAAACAATCACATTAACATGGAAACCACCATTGATTTATTATAATAAATATAATTATGATCAATCAATATTATCGATTAATTATTGGATTGAAATATATACACCTAAAAAATTATATGATGGTTGGTTAATCATTGAACGTAATTGGCCAATAAATATTATTACATTAAATGGTTTACAATATAATATACCATATTATATCATTATACGTGCTAGATTAGGTAATGGTCGTATAGGATGGGCAAGTTATCCATATGGACCATTAATCATTCATAAAAATCAATATATTACAAAATCAATAGAAATTAAAAATATTCAATTAACTGTATTATCCCCTAAATCAATACATATTAGTTGGAATCTATATGAATATGCCTATATCTTATCACAAATTCATGGTTATATTATATATTATCGTCATGTAGAACATATGAAATGTTTACATGGCAACTATTTACATAATGTTCATTTAATGAAACATTATTGTAGTTTAAATCCTATCAATTATCATACATCTATTAATAGTAATGAAATGTATCATCAATTAGAATTGATGAAACAAATTTATCAGAAGAATATGAACAAAATAATACCGATTCTATTACATCATTACCTGGTGTTATATCAACTATAACAATAGAAGAACATTATAGGATAAATGATAATGAATTAAAACAACCTATTAATCATAAAGTAACAACATTATTAAATAAATTAAAACCATTTCATTGTTATGAAATAGGTATTAAAGCATTTATAATAAATTTATAATGAATCATTTAGAAACTACTGATATATTTACACATACAGCATTGACTTATGAAACTAGTCCATTATCACCACCTAGAAACATAATTATAAATTGGTTACTAGATAACAACAACAATAAGATAGAAGTGAATTGGTTACCACCACCTATCTCTGATTGGAATGGTATTATACTTGGTTATATTATATATATACATAATGAATTATTAAATTTATATCAGAATATGAATGTTAGTTCAAATCATAGAAAGTTATTAATTCATTTAAATAAATTACCAAAATTATTTCATATTCAATTAGCTGCTTATACATGTATTGGTATTGGGATTAAAAGTGAATCGATCAAAATTGATCTCGATCAAAAAATCAATTTACAAAAAAACGATCATGAATTATCGATCATTAAAACTATTGAAGATCTCAAATTATCATCATCATCATCATCATCATCATCATCATCTTCTATATTCACAAATGATTCAATAAACGATCATAAATTAATTCATCAATCATGGTTTATTAGTGTAATGATGAGTAGTTTATTAGCATGGTGTATTTTATTCACTGTATGTCTTATATGTTGGTTACATCGTAATAAATTTTGTAAAAAACAATTGACATATCAATTATCACAATCTACTAATGTAGATCATAAACATTGTAAACCAAATACAAATAATATCAATGATCAATCTATGATACAAACGAATGGTTATTCAAATCATCATCATCATCATATAAGTAATAGATCTATAACTATAAGTAGTAGTTCAGGTGAACAAACATTTGACATAAAAACCCAACCTCAAATTTCCTATTTATCCATTAGACAATCATCAGAGAATAATTCAAATGATAGTTCAAAGAGTTATGGTTTACAATATACAGAATATTCCGATGAATCACATATGAGATCTTCATCTAAGACAATGGGTCATTTCCGTACAGGGAATAACATGATCGGAAATCCTATAAACAATAATAATTCTATTAAACCACAATTATTTCAAACAGTTACTAGACAATTTACTTCAAATTCACCATATTTTACTAATGATATACATGATCCTATCAAAACAAATTCATTACATTTTACATCCCCATCACAAACTAGTTCTGAACCATTTGATTCAGCTATTTATTTAGAACAAATATCAAATAAACAACAACATTTGAATGATTCATCTGGTTCTATATTAACACCGCCAACATTAATCACTACTATCAATGATGATCAAATGAATGATTGTATAAATGAACAAATTTATTCACCTATTGTAACACCATATGCAACTGCATCTATTATACCAAATGAAAATTGTGATATTGGATTACAATCACCAAAACAACAAACTCATTCAAATAATCCTAACCATACGAATCATCATCAGCAGCACCATCATCATCATCATCATCAGCAGCAGCAGCAGCATCATCAGCAGCAGCAGCATCAACAACAACAGCATCATAATCATCTTATCAATGATAATACTTCACAAAATATGTACATAACATGTATGGATTTATCTAATTGTCAAAAAGCTACTAATATACCAAGTTGCTTATAACTACTACTTATATACTTACAGTCAATTTAATGCTAATTATATAAGATTGATAATGTTTATCATATGAAAACTATTATTGTTATTAAACTTATTCTAAGTAATACAATGTAATTACTTAATATTCTCATGTTTATATATAAATATATACATATACATATAGAAGCAAGTTGAATGATAAAATTTGTTTAAACCGATTAAATTTTCTAAATTGGGTGCAAATAAAATATACTTAGTTGAATCCCTTGAATGCCCTGGTAGAGTCGAGGGTGAGGGAGAGGTCATCTCTCTCTTTTCAAATGCTTAATACATGGTCATGCGTATACAACCGCTGATAGGAAAGTTCTACTGACTGGCTTCTCGCCACACGAGTGTTGTTTACGAAATTGAGACGATGGAAAGCGAATGTAAAGCACTTTAATCGGATTTGTGGGATCTATCTAGGGGAATCGGGAAACCAGTGATGCACATGGGCTCCAGAATCCTGAGTGAACAAATGGCATGTGAACTAATCGTTGATGACCGGCTACCATGGGATTGCATCTGCTGACCTCACTCCACTGCCTTCTGGATCACACCTTTAGGTCGAAGGCTCCGGGTGTGGCCCACTAAGAAAATTACACACTTCAGACTGGGGACCCGAGCAGTATCACAACCCACACACAAATCAAGTGAGTTGTGTGCGCGCATATGTATTTGGTGCCCCCTTGTACCAATATTTATGTGTTCAAATAAAGTAACAAATATAAAATAAATCGGCTTAGCTGGACTGGTCATAACATGTAAAATAAACGTTTACTAGTGTAGTGAACAAGAACACAAACGGGGACAACCATTATTCTTTCATTTCACATCAGTCATTCTTTGTTCTCGATTTTCTTTGATCTTCTTAAACTTCTGCCGCCAGGCATTTCACTTACGACTAATTATGCATACTACTTATATCTATCGATATCAGTAGCACACAACACACTAGTTGTATAATTGAGTACATATATTCAGAAATTAAAGTCGTTGTTTATGTGCGAAAAATAGTTAACCAATTTGTTGTGGTTTGCGTATGCGTATCAGATAACTGAAATTGTAAAAAAATCAATGTAACTACGAGTTTCGATAATCTATCAGTCAGTTAAAAAACAATCAACGATATTGTTTTATCCATATGAATTCGGGAATTCCCCATTAGTAAAATTCATTCGTTTACACATTAAATAGTTGAAATGAAACTTTCAGATCACTATTGTTGGTATACTATCATGTCTTTTCCAAGCATTTCCGCTGAAAAACATCTGGTGAGACTATAATTTATGGACGAATCAATCAGGTATAAGATAACAGTTCTCCATTTGGGTAAATAGAGTTTTGGAATTATAGCTGATGTCAGTTCGTGGTGATAAACCTGAAATTGAACACCTCACCTTAATCATCAACTGTAAATCATAATTCTAATTCCTCACACTAATTTATAACCCTCATTTGGTCCTAGTTATTAGGTGGACACTCTCAAAGTCATTTTAGCGTCGTTCAAATAACGTCTATAAATCATCGTCTCACCAAAGAGTTTGCCCTCATCATATCCACCTAATCTTATTTTCAAACTAGAGTTAATTCTAAGTATAGATTGTATAATATAGAAAATTTATTATTTAGTGACAAAATAAGTTTCTATCTAATTCAGGAGATGGAAGTAACTGCAGATTATCATTGATTAATTTGTGTGTCTGTTGTTCGTTTAATAGTGGTGAGAAAAGCGATTTTAAGAATATATAGTCTAAGAATAGCCTTAGAACTAAATGATAGTAGCCTATTTGATCAACAAGTCAGCATTAAACGATGAGATACACCAGACCGAATGAACATAAATAAACGATGAATAGTGTATTATCCATTAAGTGCTAAGTAATCGCACTTGTAAATAATTTATTCCCTTCCAGGCCCAGATAACATTGTAGATCCCCTTCTATTTTATTATAGTAATTGTTTGTTTCGTTTGTTTAATCTCGCTGACATTGGAACTCGCACGATGGACTACAGTGCAAATAAAGTCATTAATAATAATAATAAGTCATGCATGGAGGACAGCTGACAAACTCATTCCAAGTAAGGACCGGAGTCAGGCAAGGCTGGTGGTTGGCTGGACTATAAAGACTTGGACATCTGAGGGAAAGCAGGGAATACAATGGACTGCTCGGAATCAGTTAGAAGATTCTGACTTTGCAGATGACCTAGCCCTCCTATCCCATACACATGAACAAATGCAGATGAAAACAACTTGTATTGCAACAGCCTCTGCATCAGTAGGCCTCAACATACAAAAACAAAAAATTAAGATCCTCAAATACAACACGGAGAACATCAACTCAATCACACTTGATGAAGAAACTCTGGAAGATGTAGAATCTTTCATATACCAGGGGAGCATCGTCGATGAACAAGGAGGTTCAGATGCAGATATAAAGGCGAGGATTGGCAAAGCAAGAGTCGCACTCATAAAAGTGAAGAACATATGCAACTCAAAAAATTATCAACCAATATCAAAGTCACGATCTTCAATATGAACATCAAGACGGTCCTACTATACAGAGCTGAAACGTGAAGATCTAATACAACCATCATCAAGAAGGTACAATTACTTACAAAAATTTGTCTACGCAAGATACTCAACATCCATTGGCCGGATATCATCAGCAACAGATTACTGTGAAAGGGATCAGAACAACTTCCATCTGAAAAGAAAATCAGGAATAAATGATGGAAGTGAATAGGTAATACATTACGGGAATTACCAATCTGCATCGCGAGACAAGCCCTAACATGGAATCCTAAAGGGAAGCGGAAAAGTGGAAGGCCAAAAAACACATTACGTCGAGAAATAGAAGCATATATGAAAAGGATGAATAACAAATGGAAGAGCTGGAAAGGATTGCTTGGGGCAGGGTTGGATGGCGAGTGCTCGTGGGCGGCCTCTGCTCTTCCACGATTATTATCAGGCGTAAGTAAGTATTTGTTTGTTGATCTCATCCGTAATCTCGTAATCTAAAGTATAAAGTGAGTGAATGTGTTGGCTATTGCACACAATCTGTAACTTCGAAAACTCTTCAATTCGAAAAAAATGTTCATTTTGATGAGATTGTGTGTAATTCTTTCATAGCCTTTGTGAGATTAATTTCTTGATAACGAAAACAATCAAAATTTTCTCAGTTCTCTGACTGATTATGAAGGTCTACCAGTTCAATTCACATCATTTAAATGATCTATTAAAGTCATACAGCATCAAAAGGATTTACACAGTTATTTGTATCACAGGATATCAGACATATGTTATCAAAGGAAACTTAAATACTGGTTATGAAAAGATGTCCATATATGGATAATTTATTAAACAGGTAGGTAAAAGAGATTGAATCCTTACTAAACAGAGAACAATAAACAAAATTCATTATCATCCCTATTGATTGAAAAGTTACTACGTTGCTGAACTGATATATCTTTTCTTTTTCCTGAAGCAGGTGACTAAAGTAGATTTGATGGTGAGACTATCATTAATGAACGAGTCAATCAGATTAAGGATAACAGTTCTTGGATTTTGGCGTGAAATTCATTCACCCATTCGGACAAACAGTGTCTTAGCATTTTAGCTGATGTCAGTTCGTGAGGAAAAACCGTAAACCTAATTCCAAATTCTAACCGTTAACTGTGAATCATAGTCCTAATTCTTCTAACTGCTTTACAATCATCATTTAGCCTTATAAAATAGGTAGAAACATTGGCGTCGCTCAAAGGTCGTTCATAAATTGTAATCTCATCGATTTGATCTGTATGCTATAAATCTTTTTTTCATAAAACAATAACACAATGAATGTATTGTATTTAGCTGTTGTCTCTTCAAATACATTTATTTTATTTTATTTATTTAAACATATAAACATTGGTACAAAAAGGTACCAAACAAATATGCGCCACATAAGTCATTCGAGTTTTGCGAGGGCTGGGTGCCCAAACTGAAGCTGGTGGTTTTCTTAGGGAGCAACACCCGGAGCCTTCAACCTAAATGTGTGATCCACAAGGTGGTAGAGCAACGTCAGGAAATACAGTCTCATGGCAGCCGATGACCAACAATAGGTTTTTATGTCATTTGTTTCCTTAGGCTACTGGAACCCATGTACAGAAATGGTTTGGAATCAGTGTTTTCCAAGTCCCCTAGATGGGTCCTCCGTATCCACCAACCCGGTTAATACACCGGACACTCGCTTTCCGTTCTCTCAATTTCGTAAACAGCACCCGTGTAACGAGAAGGCAGTGAGTAGGACTTCCGTGGTAGTGGTTTTATGCACGTGACCAAACTCCTAAGTCGTCTTTATTTAGAAAATGCTGTCATTCCCAAAAGTCTACGTTTAGAGGAGAATACAACCTTCAAGGTATGATTGTGTTCCAGATATTAAACTACAAACATGAAGTCAATGAAACAAGTGCATTCAAAATAAATAATCGATATTATAATTTTACTCTATGAATATTTGCTTAAACTGTAACAATCAAAATGTTTAAATCCAACTTTTATGTTGCCAACTTATTATTTTCAGGAAGGGTTATTTGTAGAGGTTTTAGAAATTTAACTGATTGAAATCATGAGTCAGATGTAGCTAGGCCATCATGGAAAGCCTGGAAGCACTGGACGGCCGTTTCGTCCTAGTATGGGACTCTTCAGCATAGTGCATCCACGAACCCGCACCCCACGAGGTTCGAACCCAGGGCCTATCAGTCTAACGTCAGGCGCTTAACCAACTAGATCACTGAGCCGGTATTCAACGGTGTTAGTGTATAGCTCCAACCAATCCACGAATTTGAGTGACACACCCACCATTGTCATTAGTGAGTTGATATCTCACAACAGACCTGGTTGAACTCCACTGGTAATGGCTTCTCACTAGAACTCCAGGAGTATCTCTTGAAGTCAGTCACTAGTGAGCAGATGATTATTATCAGAAGGTGTTTCTTGTGGAGATTTTAGAAATTTCACTGATTGAAATCATGAAGTCAGACAATAACACCATTGGATTCCGGCTCAATGATCTAGTTGGTTAAGCGCCTGGCGCGAGACTGATATTTCCTGGATTCGAATCTCGTGGGGTGCGGGTTCGTGGATGCGCACTGCTG